CTTGGCCTGGCATTTGTCAGACGCTTCCCAGAGGAGCTGATAGACTATGCTTTGAGGGATGAGTTTATCCAGAGAACGAGAAGTAGTAAATACGAGCTCCAGAAGGACCTCTTCACCCTTGGTAAGAGTGTTGAAATCGAGTGCCCGAGCTACCAAGGCAGCCGCCTTCCACCTCAGCTTTCCCAAGAGATCACCGAGATGGTTTTGACTTTTGCAGAGCAAGAAATCTACGTCAGGCCTGAGATTGCGGAAGCCACAGCTCTTCTCGAGAGCATGTTGGGTGGCCGCGAGTATGTGAAGAGCCACATGATCCTGCCTCACACGAGATCCAGCGATCTGGAGGTCCATTTGGCCGTGGATGGACGTCCCATCCCTTTCAACTTAGAAGACCCTGTTAGAGTTAAGAAACTAAAGGACATTGGAGTTAGTTTAACGGATGACTTAATGTCTCAGCTTATAAAAGGGAGATCTCACAACCAGGCTCTCATGGAAGTGGGTAATGAAGCTGAGACTGCCAGGCAGGAGCGAGGATGGACACCGGGCTCAGAGAGGGATCAAGCTATGCTTTCAGGTGGATCTCTTGCAGATGCCTGCTTTGAAGCCCCCCCATCCCTTAGGCTGAGCAGGCATCCTCAAGGGGTGAAGCTGGCTATTCAGGTGTCCAACAGAAACCACTACTGCTACTCCTCCAAGCGCCTCTTGGGGCTGCACAGCCTGAAGCGACGGCAGCTGCAGCAGCTGGGGTACGTGGTGGTTGAGCTGCCCTTCTGGGAATGGTTTCCCCTGCTCAAACGCACGCGGCTGGAGAAACTGAGCTACCTCCAATACAAAGTGTTCAACCCAGCACTGCTGAGCAGGGCTGCTTAGGCTGGCGGGGAGCTTGCCCCCAGCCTCCCCAGTGCATCTTGCTCTGCGGTTACTGGTTGGAATGGTGTCGGGGTGTTGGATAAGTGTCTGGCAGGTGCTCTGTGTGCTCAGCTCTTGCTGTGTTAGGCAGCTCTGCTCTGCTGAGCCCTGTGGCTCCCCTTTTGTACTCAGATCCTCAGAGTGCTCCTGTGCCAAATAAAAACTCCTGGCCTGTGTGTTTTTCTCTGTGATTACTCTTTGTTCCCCGCCCTGAATGGAAGTGGATGGGTTTGGTGCCTCTCTGAAAGCAGAACAGTGGTAGTTGATGATTTTTAGTCATGAAGCTGGCCCGGGTGCCAGCAGCAGTGTTTCTGTGCTGTTTCCATCACCGTGGAGCTGCGGTTGGTGGGCATGCAGTCTGAGCTGCTCCTTGTGTGTGAAAGGCGGGCGGTGGGATGGAAGCTGGGACCCTGAGACGTTCATTTCAAGCTCAGTTGAAGCTCTCAGCAGTGTCTGGCAGAGAGGATTTGCATCTGGTTGTCCCTATTGATAATGCCTGCTGCCAAATGGGGCTGACGGAGCCACCTCGAGGTGACAGTGAGAAACCAGAGTGCGAACTGTGGCTGTGTGGAGCATCTGCTCTGGAGCCTGCTGGTTTCGCCCCCCTTCCCATGGCTCGCTGTGGTTTTCTTGCTCAGGTGTCTGATCTCTGCACACTGGTCTGAGGATTGAGCTCTTGCTTCCAGGTGATGGTTCTCTCCGAGAGGAGGGACGTTTCCTGGGGTGCACAGGGCAGGCTCTGCATCTGACCAGAGCTGAAGGGATGATTTCACATGGAGCTGCATGTGAAACTCCCATTCCTGCTGCAAAGGCAGGCAGACCGTTCTGGCTGGTTTGTAGTGTGATGTTTCAAGATGTATAGAGGTGGAGGACGGGGAAGAGAGGTGTCAGTAAGTGACAGGGGGTTGGAACTGGATGAACTTTAAGGCCCCTTCCAACCTAAACCAGTCTGGGATTGTATGATCACACTGCCTCAGTGGAAAGATCCCTGTTCACCATAGGGCAGACACAGGCTCAAGGGAGATGGGCACTTGTGTGTCATCCTGATGGCACTTCAGAATCTGAGCCCTTCATGGTCCTTGAGTTGTTTGCTTTGACAAGCAGTGGCTTTAGTCATGGGGTCCTGGGCTCGCTGTCCCCATCTGAGCCTGGCTTCTCCTCTGACCCATTCCTTTGCCTGTCCCTGCTCATTCTTGATCCTCAGCCAGCCCCTTTACTGTCCTATCGCAGTGTGTCCAGCCAGCTCTCACTTTCCCTCTTCACACGGATTCTTAGTCCTTATTTCTTCCCAGTTTCTCATTTCATCTGCCCCTCCATCCCCACTGTCTTCTGAGTTATGGCTTCATAGGAAGAGTAAAGCAAAACACAGCCATGGGGAAAAGTAACTGGGTGACCAACTTGGGTTGTGAGGCAGAGCTTGGAGGGGCAGTGGCTTGGACGTGCAGCATGATGTCTTTTCTTACTGAGATGTTGAAGCTGGAAAATCAGCTTGAGTTAAGCGTGTCTGGGTCACAAACAGGAGAAAATCCTATAAAAGATACCTCTGTATATACATACATACACACTGAATTGAAAGACAGCACATTTAGTGAGAGAGTAAGATGGTTTTAATTAACCAGAGCCAATTGCCACAAAACACAGTAGAAAAGGATGAGACCTCAGGAACAGCTTAGGCTTGGAGGAGATATAAGTGTCCTAAGGGGTGCCTTGCACCCATCTGTGGTTTGTCTGTCATGAGGCAGCGCTATGGAAGAGGAGGTTGCACGACCACAAGGTCCACAGGAGAAGCTGGCGTCTGATACAGGCAGGATCTCAATAGACAAAGGCTCATGAGGAGTGAGTTCTTAAAGCAAGGAGTTTGCAGGATGCAAAGGTAAAGGCAGGGTCTCACCACCAAGACTTGCTGAAGGTGAATGCACTGGGCTGGTCAGGTTGGAATGGAGAAGACTTCAGGTCAGGAAGGAGATGGGAGTTGAAACTAGAACAGAAGGCAAATCCTGCATCATTGCAAGGAAGGGAACGAAGAGTTGGGTTTGTCATAATAGTAGTACTGAAAGCCAAGCTTATTTACCAGGCAACAGGTTCAGAAGGAACCAAAAAGAGTAGTTCTGTCACCCAGCCTGCAGTTAAACCAGCAACCTTCCTCTCACAGGATGGGGATGCCAAAAGTGAGACCAGCTTAAAAGCCTCTTTGAACAGCTCCTCACTGGAAGCCTCTCGGGCTCAGAAAGCCAAGGAAGTGCTATCAGAGGAGCATTGGTTTGTGCTTGTCCTGTTCCTGTGTTCCCTGCTGAAGAGCAGGCATTGCTCCTGGTGCCTCAGACCAAATACTGGGCTAGAAGGGGTGATGTCTGTCTTGCTGCAGCTCTTTTTAGGTTCATACCTGCTTCAGTGAAGCAGTGGCATTGTAACCTTCAAGCTGTGCTCTCTGCAGGCCTGGCTTCCTGTGGGATTTGTACCTCAGGTCCCACATTTCTCATTCAGAACCAGGCTGCAACCCTGTGCTTTTGCAGGCAGGCAAAGTGAGCTCCTATCACTGTATTCCAATGGACCACCGTGCCCCCAAAAGGGCTGATTTCATTTTGGCTGAACTCACAGCTCCAGCTGAAACCTATTAAAGGGCTGCTTGTGCTGGAAGGAAGCAGCAGGTTCCTGGTTTGGCAATGGGATATTCAAACTAAGGTTACTGTAAGGTTAAAACTCTTACGGATAATTTCATTCTTAGGAGGGACGTGATATAACTGATGCGAGTCACATTCTTTTCAGTGGAGGAGAAGGTGCATTCACTTGAGTTTCTTTAATGAACACTGTTAGAAGAATCAGCTAGGTCGGTGTTCAGAATATAGATCATCTCCCTCCGAGCTATTAGATGCTCCCTTGGAGCTATTAAATACCGATTAGTAATATTTGGGTTTAATCCTAGCTTCTCTCTAAGGCTCCTGAAGCCCTTAAGAACCATTTCTCGTTGCAGCAGTGTGTTAGTGCTGACTGGTGTTACCCTCATCCCAAGAGGCCCCATCCCAGCTGCTTGTGCTGGGTGTTGTCCAAGAGCACAGGCAGAGTCCTGCCTCAGAGTGAAGGCACAGGTAGATGTGGCACACAGGGAGAGGCAGGCACAGGGATGAAGCAGGGAGTTCAAGGCCCAGTGGGAATGGATGCCGGTGATGAATGCCCTGGTTGGATCGCAGCCCATGTCCTCCAGTTCCAGCTGAGGCTGCCAAGAGCTCACAGTGGTTCCTTTGACAGCCTCATGTGATAGAATCATAGAATCCCAGCCTGGTTTGGGTGGAAGGGACCTTAAAGCTCCCCCAGCTCCAACCCTTGCCACGGGCAGGGACCCCTTCCACTAGAGCAGCTTGCTCCAAGTCCCTGTGTCCAACCTGGCCTTGAACACTGCCAGGGATGGGGCAGCCACACTCTGATGCTTCATCTACCAGACCTGCTGCCTCCTTGATAAGCTTTCACATCTAATTGCTGGTCCATATATAGGTAAGATGATTTTAGTTAAAACAGCCATTTTCTCTCTGATGGGTTCACAAACTGACACAGCTTTTTCCTTCCATCCTATCTCAACCACAGTCATTTGGGTTTATATTGGCTTCACCTCCTGGACTCAGATCTGAGCTGCATTTTAGGAGAAGAGAAGGCTGCGTGGAGACCTCATAGCAGCCTTCCAGTATCTGAAGGGGGGCTATAGGGATGCTGGGGAGGGACTCTTCATTAGGGACTGTAGTGACAGGACAAGGGGTAACGGGTTCAAACTGAAACAGGGGAAGTTTAGGTTGGATCTAAGGAGGAAATTCTTTCCTGTGAGGCTGCTGAGGCACTGGAATGGGTTGCCCAGGGACGCTGTGAATGCTCCATCCCTGGTGGTGCTCAAGGCCAGGTTGGACAGAGCCTTGGGTGCCATGGTTTAGTGTGAGGTGTCCCTGCCCATGGCAGGGGGCTTGGAACTGCATGATCTTAGGGTCCTTTCCAACCCTAACTAGTCTATGATTCTGTGATCTACCAAGCTTGTCATTCACGCAGGCTCCAGAACAAGGTCCTTTCACTGATGTTCACTTGCTTTTTCTTTCATTTCTGTTTTTTACAAGCTGAATCTGATGCTCACAAACTGAGCTCTCTCCAGCTGCCAAGATGGTAATAAACGTCTGTCTCCCACAGTTCAAGCCAAGGATTCACTGCAACAAGGTAAAGTAGCGATGTGAGGCGGTTTAGGCAGCTGGAGGGATCGGGTATAAGCGGTGTGTTGGACTGGTTGGGGCTCAGGGGGTCTGTTTGCTGCTCATGTGTTATAATTGGTGTTTCTGGAAGACTGATTTTTGGCCACCCATGCCAGGGTTTCCTGGGAAAAGAAAGCAAAAGCAGCTCACAGCAAACTCCCCTCGTTTTGTGAGGTCCAGAGGGGGATTTTAACATGGGAGGCTGTGGATGTCCACTGCCAGCAGAAGTATTGAGAGCAGCTGCAGGTAAAGAGCAGGCGTTTTAGTCCACAAAGCCAGGAGCATCTTTGTCACTTAAAATCATTTTGCAGCGATGTGGGAGGGCTGTGATTTGGGTGGGTTTGCTCAGAGCTTTCTCTTCCAAGCTCAGCAGTCTCCTATCATCCTCAACAAAGTGGTTCCAAGCCCCTGTGTCCAACCTGGCCTTGAACACTGCCAGGGATGGGGCAGCCACAGCTTCTCTGGGCACCCTGGGCCAGCGCCTCAGCACCCTCCCAGGGAAGAGCTTCTGCCTAAGAGCTCATCTCAGTCTCCCCTCTGGCAGGTTCAAGCCATTCCCCTTGGCCTGTCCCTATAGGCCCTTGTCCCAAGCCCCTCTCCAGCTTTCCTGGAGCCCCGTTAGGCACTGGAAGGCTGCTCTGAGGTCTATAAGGACAGGTAGGGTTGATCCCAGAGCTGGAGAAGGCAGCCAGCTCTCTGACCTCCAGAGGTTTCTGAGGTTGGATGGGGCTTTGACCAACCTCCTCTAGTAGAAGGTGTCCCTGCCCGTGGCAGGGATTGGAACTGGATGCGCTTTAAGCTCCCTTCCAACACAAACCATGCTGGGATTCCATGATTTTAGGTGCCTGCCACCTATTTTCTCCAGAGGTCTCTTTCCACATGGCTAAGCTGACATAATGTTTCACCAGTGTTGAAGGACAGAAGACTCCCATCTCACCACACACACACACGCTCTGCTCCCAGCCAAACTCTCCCTCTTGGTGTAGTTCACTGACCCATCCAAAACCACACACTAACCACATTTTTGCACTCTTTTAGCTGTTAAATCAGCTCTGAAAATGACTGCCCAGGTGGCAGAGGGTGTAGAGGAGAGTGGATGGGACCATATGGCTGGAGGAGGGTGGGAATGGGTCTGCTGGGCCTCAGTGGCAGGGATCTCCTGTGTGGTCTCCCTGCACGTGAAACCATGGTTCCCAGTTGATGTCTTCCTGAGGCTCTCCATCAGTGCCTGTGAATGGGTTTTGAGTTTCTGGCTCCGAATTAAATGCGTTTTTCTCCTGCAACACAGATTTCTGCTGATGGTTACGAAGTGGAGAATCTCATCTCGGAAGACCTGGCCAGGAGAAACCGGGGCTTCCGCAGTGAATACTTCATCAAACCTCCGGTCCACGTCACCATCTCTTTCCCCTTCAACATTGAGATCTGCAGGATCAATATCGACGTCTCATCCGGGGGATACCAAACCTTCTCTGGGCTCGAAGTTTACACCTCTACCTCATGCAATAAAACCTCTTGGCAGAGCCCTGAGGGTCAGTTCTCAGGTCTGGCCAGTCAGCCCCTGTCAGACAAAGACACTTTCACACTGGTGGGCAAAGCTGTCTTAAAAAATCAAAGCAAAGTGACATTTGGCCATAGAGGCTTCAAGCCAAGGCCTCCCTTCCATCAGGTGGAAAATGTCTTGTCCTACCCCGGCTCTGCCTCTCAAGACCTCTGGAACAAAGGGCCCTCCTCGCTGAGCAATGTGTCCCACTTGAGGATCTGCATCACCCATGTGGCTGGGGGCGGCCTGCCTTGCATTAAGAGGCTGGAGGTGTGGGGCCAGCCTGCCAAATCCTGCCCGCAGGAGGTGATCGAGGGTGTCTTTCAGGTGGCCTCCCAGTTCTTCACCCAGGAGGTTGGTCACGTCAAGCCAGAGCTCTGGACGCCAATGGAGAGCGACTGCGTGCCCTTCAGTGCCAACGACAGCGAACAGCAGACCCTCCGCAAGCTGGTGGATGTGGTCCAAGACATCCCTGAGGAATTCCTGGACCCCATCACCCTGGAGATCATGACCTTGCCCATGCTCCTGCCCTCAGGGAAGGTGATCGACCAGACCACCTTGGAGAAGTGCAACCGGAGCGAAGCATCCTGGGGCAGGGTCCCCAGTGATCCTTTCACTGGGGTGGCCTTCAGCCAGCACTCACAGCCCCTACCTCACCCTACCCTCAAGGCTAGGATAGACCATTTCCTCTTGCAGCACAGCATTCCTGGCACCAACCTGCTGGGGAGGGCTCATGCCTCGGAAATGCTCGTCCCTTCTTCCATAACAATGTCTTCTCTGAAGAGGAAAATGGACTGCATGGATCCGAGCTCTGTGCAGCCACCTTATTTTTCCTCTACAAACTTACTTGTCACGTCTACCTCAGAGAACAGTGCTAAAAAAATGAAACCTGACAGTGACTCACATTTGATCCACATGGACTGTTCCACAGGTACCGGGGCTCCCCAAGTCCCCTTGTGTTCCTTGAATGCCTTGAGAGCCTGGGGCCAGGTTTTCAAGTCAAGAGGCTCCACTACAGTCCCATCCCACCTCTTCAAAGCTTTAAGGCCGTTGTGTTTTGCTGCTGATAGATGCCATGGGAGTCAGGTCATCATCTCATTCACCTCTCCTCAGCACAACCTGCCATGCTGGATGCTGTTTGCTCCCATTCTCTTTCACCTTTTCTCGCCTCTAGGCTCCTTGTTCTCGTTGTGTTACCTGTGCAGTCTCCTTCCCAGCCCTCGTGTTTGCTCAGGTCACCTTGTTCCCCTTTTAGTTTGTGTTTCCTCCTTCCTCCTCCTTGCTTTCAAGCCACTGTCTATGTGGAGACAACATTTTTCTCACAGTGTGCTGGTTTAAAGTCTCTTTATCGTGGGTGATTTATTACCTTACCCATCAATGTGTTCTAGCATCAGCAAGAAGGTATCCACAGCAGAAGCGTCTGGTGGTGCAGCAGTGATGGCACAGGGAGGGTCCTGACTGGTGTGGGTCTTCTCCTGAGGACTGAGATGGGGAGGAAGGCAGGAATGAGGCACTAATTCTGCTCATGGATTTCCCTGGCCATACTCTTGGTGCAGCTGATTCCCTGCAGTGTCCCTGCACAGGTTGTGTCCCCAGGGACGTGCTGGCTCCTTCCCTTCTCACAGGGCTGCTCCTGCTGGGGCAGAGGCTGAGGCTGGGGAGCGTGTGGCTGTGCTGCCTCCAGTCTGCCCTGTCCATAGTGCAGCAGTGCAGGGGCTTGGAACTAACAGCAGCAAGGGAATTGCTCCTTCAGAGCAAGGAGGAGGCAGCCCAGGTTGGGAGAGGCTTGCAGTCAAAGCAGAAAACCATTAGAGACGTTAGACCAGACTTGTGTCTCCAGGGGAAGGAAATGGGTCCTGCTTTCCTTTTATCCTTGTTTTTCTCCGCAGTGCAGTAACAGCATCCCTGGGCATAAGCTCCCAGAGGCAGAAAACCAGTGCAGACCTGCATCTCCCAGATAAATTCCCTGGAAAGCTGAGTGTTTCCACTCATCCCCAGCCATGCCACAGCTTTCAGACCAGGCAGGCAAGGCAGCGTTACGGCAGCACAGACAGACCTATGAATCCACGGAGCACTGGGAGTGTAGGATGCTCCTTGTAGGTCCAGCAGCATTCAAGTGCAGGACTGCTGAGGAGGAATCAAGAAAGCCAGGGTGATCTGTGGGGTAAATACCAAGGAGATTCCCACCTCTCATCCCAAAATCTATTGGCTTTTTGTGCTCTATTCCCTAATGACCAGAACCTTCATCCCACGATGAAGGGTGGCTCCCAGGGAGCTGCTGCTCCTCTTAACTCCACACTAGATCTTTCTCCCCAGATCCACATCTATTTTGCCATGTTTGCTTTCTCCCTTGTTGGCACAGGGATTCCTGGAATCTATTGGAGTTGCTGGCAGTGCAGCTGTTAATATCCATGTAACTACTGCACACAGCAAGGCTTAAACCTTCTCTCTGGTGTCTTAAACTGAGTTACAGCTTTAGGTTAATGGTCACACTGTAGGAACAAGGTAAACTTAAATGGGAATTAAGATAGGAAGGAGATGTCTTTAGCAATCTTGTATTTAGAGGAGCTTGGAGGGAACAAGTGTCTGTGAGGTTTCTGTCACCTAAGGGCTGTCTCTCAAGGCAGGTAAGGCAAGTTTTCTTGTGTTCTCCAATCTGGAGGTCTCAAACATGTCAAAAGGTGGCCTCATTCCTGCTGGAACCTGTCCCCTCCTTCACCTTGCTCCCCAAAATGTTTATAGGAAGAAACTCTGTTTGATTTTAAACAAAAGTCTTTAAAGACCTGATTGAAAATAACTGATGTTTGTGGCCCCAGAATGAATAGGAAGAAGCCAGACTGCACGTTTCCACTCTGATCCCTCACTCTCGTTCAGTGCTTTAGGAGGACCCATCAGTTATTTTCCCTGCAGAGATGTGTAACGGCTCCCGCTGGGGATGTGCCCCAGCCCCATAGGAGCAGGGAATGCCCTGTGGGGTCCTGGAGCTCCCGAGGGAGCCGTGCCCATCCGTAAACAAAAGCACATTGCTCAGAGCATGCTCCAGTGTTTCATCAGCCTTGATTGCTGTGGCACATGTGCAGCACTAATTCAAAGCTCTTCCTTGGGGAGATGGATGTAACGGGATTAGCGATGCAGACAGCATCCTCTTAATGCACAGCCTGAATGAATGCCTTCGGTGGGGCACAGCACAAACACTGCAGGGAAGGGTGCGACCCTGCACCTTTGGCTTCATCCCTTGACTCAGAACTGAGACAGGATAACATCAGTGCCCCCAGCTGTTAGTAGTGTCTTCAATGTTCCCAGTTAGCTGCATGAAGCAAGGCTGGGAGCGCTGGGCTGGCTCGCTCAGTGGGGAAGGCTGAGGGCTCAGGAGCTGGTTTTGGGATGATTTGGGGTTTTGCCCGTTTTCAGACCTGCAGGTAGAAGCTGCCACCTGAAGGTTTGTTGGCACTGGGGCACGGCATGGATGGCTGACAGAGATCTGTAGGACTTTTCATCCTTAGGACACAAAGGAGAAGCACTACATCCCCATCCTGGCACCTCAGCAGGGAGAAGAGACCTCTTCAGAAAGCAAGTGGCAGGGCTCCTAAAAGCATAGAATCCCAGCCTGGTTTTGGTTGAAAGAGACCTTAAAGCTCATCCAGCTCCAAACCCTGCCACGGGCAGGGACCCCTTCCACTAGAGCAGCTTGCTCCAAGCCCCTGTGTCCAACCTGGCCTTGAACACTGCCAGGGATGGGGCAGCCACAGCTTCTCTGGGCACCCTGTGCCAGGGCCTCAGCACCCTCCCAGGGAAGAGCTTCTGCCTAAGAGCTCATCTCAGTCTCCCCTCTGGCAGGTTCAAGCCATTCCCCTTGGCCTGTCCCTACATTCCTTGTCCCAAGCCCCTCTCCAGCTTTCCTGCAGCCCCTTTAGGCACTGGAGCTGCTCTCAGGTCTCCCCTTCAGGAGCCTTCTCTTCTCCAGCTCTCTCAGCCCAGCCCCATAGGAGTGCTGTCCCACAGGTTCAGAGGCAAAGCAGCATTCCTGTTCCTCATTCTTCCCCCCCCCCCCCCATCCTCTTCTTGAGCTTCTGCTTCTCTTTGCAGATCTGGTCTCTCACGAGCAAAAGCTCTCAGACAGTTTGGACACTGCCTTGACCTCGGCGCTCAGCTCCATGCCCTCATTCACAGCCAAGCTGATGAAGAGCCAGCAGCAGGCCCAGAGCGAAGGAGGCTGCAGCAGCTCCTGGAGTGTGGGCACCATCCTTGGTAAGCAGCAAGTGCCTCTGGGTCACCATGGGGAGCCGGAGAGGAGAGCTGGGGCTGGGTTAGCAGCGAGGGTTGTGCTGCTGCTCAGCATCTTCTGATGCTTCCTCACACACCAGACTAGAGCCATAGAATGGTTTGGGTTGGAAAGGACCTTAAAGTCATCCAGTTCCAGCCCTCTGCCATGGGCAAGGATGCCTTACACTAAACCCTGTTGCCCAAGGCTCTGTCCAGCCTGCCCTTGAACACTGCCAGGGCTGGAGCATTTACTGTATATATATTCAGTATTCAGACATGCTGTTGCCTCCCAGCAAGCTTTACTTTACAATCCCTAGGTCCTGCTTTTTCATCTCAGCAGATTTAATGGTTTATTCTCCCATTGAGGCAGGTTAGACCTCGTTGGCCCTCAGAAAGTGAGGTCTGGTGTCCATGCCCTCAGTCAGGGCGGGCTGCAGCAGGGATGCTGTGATTTGGCACTTGTCTGTGCTGCCTGAGGGCAATCCTGGGTGCTTTGCACTGAGGCATGGTGCTAAGCCCAGCCTGGACCAGGTTAGTTCAGACAGAGCTTGCCCCATGTTGAGGTTTGGCTGCTCCCAGAGCTCTGATATGGGCTAAGTGGCTTAAATCATAGAGTCATGGAATAGTTTGGGTTGGAAGGGGCCTTCAGAGGTCATCTTAGTCCAACCCCAGTGTCCCCTGTTAGCTGCACACAGTAAGCTGGGGAGTTGCCATGTGGATTGGAAGGAGCCTGGTGTGGAGGTGCAGGTGGAGAGGCGTAAATCTAGCAAATACCACTCAGCCTGCTGACCCTTAACAGGAGCAGGACATGGTAGCAACATCATGGGTCAACCAGCCAAGTGTGTGCCCAGTATCCCGTTGGGTTTGACTATAGACAGGCCAGGCTGTTGAGTCCTCGCAGTTCCATCCCATCAGCCAGACGTGCTGATCCAGCTGTGTATGCATTCATTCCCAAACTGATTCCATTGGGGCACAGGGAAGCGTTGAACCTCCCTCTATCCCTCCACAGGCTGATGCCCTAACTGAACCTTGTTCCTCTTCTTCTCCTGTGTAAGGATCCACCAGAGGAGAGGGTTCAGAGGGACCAAATGCCCCTGAGAACAGGCTGGCGCTGGCTTTCTCTCTCAATGGCTTTTGCTGTTTCACAGTGACGTGAAGCTGTTAAGCTTTATTCCCTGTCCCCTTTAAAATTGCTGCTGTTTAAGGGCTGACTGAGTGGCCCTTGATAGATGGTGCGTGCCAGGAATGCAGAGTGATCCCTAAAGTGTTTCACTCGGGAATAGGGGATTTTCATCGGAGCGCTGGAAAAGCGGAAGACGCCGATTTAGCCTCGGGAGAAGTGAAGAGCCCTTTGCAGTCATCTGTCCTCAATGAAGAGCCTGATGGTGCAAGTGCTGGTGTGATTCAGCCCCTTCTGAGCACAACCTGCCCCAGAAGGAGGCTGTTCCCTTGCCTTATGGCAGTGATAAAACGGGCCACGGTCCTGAGCCATGAGCTGTGCTGTACAGCTGCAGAACATGGGGTCCTTGGAGGGATTAGGCATCTAAGGGGTGGCACAGCACGGACTTGGTCCTGTTTATCAATGGCCTGGATGAAGGGATAGAATGTACCCTCAGCAAGTTTGCTGGGGGAAATGGCTGCTGCAACCTCAGGTGCTGCCATAGGCTGGAGAACTGGGCAGAGAGAAGCCTCATGAGGTTCAACAAGGGTAAGTGTCGGGTGCTGGACCTGAGGAGGAAGAACCCCCAAGCACCAGCGCAGGTTGGGGCTGACCTGCTAAAGAGTGGTTGAGCTGAGAAGGACCTGGAGTGTTGGTGGATGATGAGTTGACCATGAGCTGCAGTGTGCCCTTGAGCCAGGAGGGACAAGAGCATCGCTGGGGTGCAGCAGGAGGAGTGTGGCAGCAGGCTGAGGGAGGTGATTCCTCCCCCTTTACTCGACCCTGGTGAGCCCACATCCGGAGCGCTGCATCCAGTGCTGTGCTCCCCAGTACAAGAAAGACAAGGGGCAACTGGGCAGGGTCTGGCAGAGGCCACAAGGATGAGCAGGGGTTTGGAGCATCTCTCCTGGGAGGAGAGATTGCAGGAGCTGGGGCTGGTTAGTCTGGAGCAGACTGAGAGGGGATCGCATTGATGCAGATCAGTATCTTAAAGGGGGGGTGCCAGGAGGGTGATGCCAGTGACAGGACAAGGAGCAATGGCCATACACTAAACCACCACAAGTTTCTTCATCTCAGCATGAGGAAGAACTTCTTTACATTGAGGGTGTCAGAGCACTGAACAGGCTGCCCAGGGGGGTTGTGGGGTCTCCCTCTCTGAAGACATTCAAACCCCACCATGGACACATTCCTATGTAACTTGCTCTGGGTGGCTCTGCCTTGGCATGGGGTTGAGCTGGACGATCTCCTTCCAACCCTAATGATGCTGTGACGTGTCACCCCCCTGACCGACCCCTTCTCCTGTCGCCTTTGCAGAGCACGGCAGGAGCAGCCAGACCCAAGGATGCTCTTCCTGTGGCAAAACCTTCTCCTCCTACTTCAAAACGGAGCCCGTTTACCAGCTTCCCTGTGGCCACCTCATGTGTCGCCCGTGCTTGGCCGAGAAGCAGAAGTCTCCATCCTCCATACTCTGTGGGAGCTGTAAGAGGCCGGCTGGCACGCACGACGTCAGGAGGGTTCACTTCTGAGCCCTCGGCTGCCAGAGCCTTCCAGGAGGATGAGAACAAGGAGCTGCTCCCTGTGTCTGTTGATCCATAGGAGGATGAAGGCCTTTGGAAGAGCTCACCAAGAGGAGCTTGGTCTTCTTGTGCTTACAGAGTAGTTTGGGGGGGGGGGGGGGGGTGTTTAGAGCATCGCGCCGGAGCAAAGCGATCCGAGGATAATAAAAGCCATAGCTTCTTTAACAAGGAATATGTATTTATACAGGACTGATTTCCAGCTGTCGCCCTCTTCCCGCCATCCCAGTGGCTCAGTGGTTTAGCATAGGTGCCTTTTGGACTGTGAGTTCAGCTTCCCCGTGAGTTCAAACCATTCACATCTCTGACGCGCAGCCATTCGGCCGTGGACCAGGCAAAGTCCTCGTGATGGACAACAACATGCATCTGTCTGACTTCTCCCCCCCCCATTCCCTGCCTTACTCCTCTCCTCCCTGCGGTGCTGCAGGAGCACATCAACCACCCTGGAGTCCAGCAAGTCACAGAAGCGAGGCCAGGGGCAGCGAGCTCATCCTGCTCATAGCAGCTCCTGTAGAAAAGCCATGGCATCACACCAGACGTCACCCTCGGTTCGTGTCGCGTGTCTGGACCAGCTCCGTCTGGCTGATAGACAGTTAAGCCTTAATAAAACTTATGTTTAAAGTCAGGTTCTCTTTCTGACTTGTCCATTGTGCAGCTTCATGAGCCCGTGGAGTGAAATCTCGTCACAGCACTGAGGAAGCCAGGTGGGAAAAGCAGACTCAGCACAGTGGATCTGTGGGTTCTAGTGGGGTTAGAGCAGCAGCCGTGTGGACCGCCATGGGTTGAGGCTGAGATACCTAAACCTGAGGAGATCTGGTCTTCAAAGAGCTCCTCAGAAGGAGAGTCACTTGGGATACATCCTATCTCCAGCACATCCTGGATGTGCCAAGGGTTAGGTGACAGCGGAGGGTTCTGTCACCTCTACAGCCCCCCGTTGTCACCACTTAATGGGTAATTTCTGCAGAGCAGGTGCTGCTCACTGATGCTCCAAGGTAAGAGGCTGCAGCTGACTCAGTTCCCCTTTACTTGGAACACCTTTCTTGGCTCTTAAGGCACCTGCTTGCTGAGCAACCCGTAATGTTCCTGGCTTCTGGTCATGGGAAACAGCAGGCTCATCAAGCAGTGAGAACACAGCTTTGTGTCGGCACCCAGCTGATTTGTGGCAAAAAATAGCAACTTCCCTGTGTTTAAATCAGAAATGGCCAGGAAATAGGCAAAAACTCTCCCAAAGATCCCACAGTTGAGAGGCAGCACAAATCCTCATCCTCCTGTGCTGTGTTTGCAGTGAAGCATCCCGATGTGATTCAGCTCACACCTCCTCCGCTCCAGCTCTGGTGAGTGATCACTGCTGCAGGAGCTCCCATCCTCACCCATCTCCTGCTTCTCTGGGATGAGCAAAGCCTCCAGTGAAACCCAAAGGCTCTGGCTCAGCCGCCTGCCCCAGTGTTTCTTGTGGTACCGTGCTGGTAGGCAGCAACTGAGGATGGGGGATGAGGGCAAGTTATCTCGGGAGGTTCCCTGCATTCCCCATGGAGGGACAGGGAGCGAGCACAGAGCCTGATGGAGCAGAGGCTGAAAGGGATGGAGCTGCAGGGGGACATCCCTGGTCCATCACCAGCTCAGAGGAGGGCTCAGCCTTCAACTGCATGATTTCTCCTCATCCTTAACCCTGTGGAATCACAGAATCCCAGCCTGGTTTGGGTTGGAAGGGACCTTAAATCCCATCCAGCTCCAACCCCTGCCACGGGCAGGGACCCCTTCCACTAGAGCAGCTTGCTCCAAGCCCCTGGGTCCAGCCTGTCCTTGAACACTGCCAGGGATGGGGCAGCCACAGCTTCTCTGGGCTCTTCTCTATAGGACCCTTTAGCAGTGAGTTTCAACCCACGCATCCCCTCTCAGTGATACAGGGAGGGCAAAGGGATTCATTTCCCTCTGTGCCCACCTCTCCTTGCTTAGGGATGGCTCAAGTACCCCCAGCTGGGTGCAAGTCCCCCTCATTACTCCCATTGAAACAAGGGGACACTGAAACCCCTGTGGGCAGCAAAGACCCTCTCTGCACCCCAAGGTGATGGGTCACACATAGCCAGAACTTCCCATGGGATCTTCTGCCAGGACCCACAGCAATGCCCTTAACCTATGCAGAATGGGCAGATGCAACCAGCAAATTCCTAGCATCGAGCTCTTTGGGAGGTGGGGAACAGCCTTTGAAGCTGAGCAATTTCCTCTATTGCTGCCATTCAAGCCCTTTGAGGAGGCCAAATCCATCCCTTGCTGCTCAGCGACCTCCCGACACGCCTGCATCCCAGCAGGATGGATTTGGACCTTGATGTCGCTGCGCTGCTTTAAACGAGCACCATCAAAGCTAATTCACATCACGTCATGGAAGCAGAGGAGCATCTTCAGCCCTGACGGGAAAAGAAGCTGCTGTGCTCAGGCAGGACGTGCAGGATCCAACCCCACCATCAAGCCATTAACCCCTTGTCAGCCGCCAGTACATGGCGAGTGGGTGAGACACCGGTGACGGTGCTAAATGCCACGCAGACAAGCCCATTTGAGGGGCATCAATGCACCCAGGCAGGAGCTGCTTTCTATCCCCAATGTGTTCAAGAAGCTTCTCCTCCTCTCTGCATCCCCTTCCAGCCACAGCAAACGCTCAGGTCAGTGAAACCCTTCCTGTTTTCCATGTGGTACCCAACGTCCTCTGGTTAATTCTGATTGAACTTTGTCACTTTGACATCTGTGGAGCGCTGCAACATCCATCCTCTGTCCTGCCTCTCACAAACCTTGATGGAGGCTTCAGAGACCACAAAGCTCCCGCTTTGTTAATGAAGGATGCTGTTAATGAAGGATGGGGAAGAATCTACTTGTGGTTTGTCCCAGCCATATGCAAGGATGTGATTGCTTGAGGACTGGAAAATCATTGGCATTTCTATGCAGTAAAGATGCTTTGAAGCTACAGGTGTAGCAGGAGGATGTTTGATGTGTGGAACAGCACAGGAGCATCGCGGGTCAGTGATGGACACCCTATTTCCCATTACTGATTTGGGTTGGAAGGATGCTTAAAGCTCCTTCAGCTCCAACCCCTGCCACGGGCAGGGACCCCTTCCACTAGAGCAGCTTGCTCCAAGCCCCTGTGTCCAACCTGGCCTTGAACACTGCCAGGGATGGGGCAGCCACAGCTTCTCTGGGCACCCTGTTATTCCCTGATGCGAGAAGCAGTTGGGAAGGACACAAGCAGCGAAGCTCCAGGGCTGAGCCCTTTCCCGACCCCTTTGCTGTTGTCTCGGAAGCGCTGGGAGATGGATTTGAGGCTGCTGCCCCGCTCCCCGCCCCGTGGCAGGCCTTTGGGGCTCTCCTGCATCAGCCCAGGCAAGCAGGGCTGGAGGTAGCAGGCAGCTAACACTGCCGATGGATGCTGCAGCACCCGCATCGCCCGCCTCGCATGTCGTTAGGACATCAGCGCTAATGAAGGGGGCTCCTCTGGGGCCCTGGGAAGAGCAGGGATGTGACAGAGCAAATCCGGTGCTGGGGACACAGAGCAGGGACCCTGTGGCTGATACGGGGGGGGGGATTTGGGGCACCACTTCCCATAGCATCACTTAGGAGCTGGGGGTGGGTTGGTGGGGGGGAGCCTGCATCACCCTGGGTACCACTGAGCATCACTGCAGGGCGAGGCTGCTGCTTAAACCCCATCACTCTGGGATCGCTGATCCCATGTCTCACCCCAACAGCCCCCTATATTTGCATCCCCTAAACCCCTTCATTACGTTTCCTACGCATTCTATCGCCTCCCCCTTCCCACCCCCTTGATTCTCGTAAGTGATTCCGTGTTGTGGCTGCGGAGCCTCTGCAACTTGGAAATAAACATTTTATTAACCTTCCTTGACTTTAAAGAGCGTAATTACATTTTAATCTCATATTCCCCCGTTATCATTCCAGACACAGAGTCATTTGAATGCAGATCGGTGCCAGCTAATGTAATTTTACGATACAGTAATGAAGAGACGGAGCAGGAGCGTCTCACACCCAATTTAGAGCTGACATTTGGGGTTCTTCTAAAGAGAAGTTTTCCCAGCCGAGGCCTTTTGCATCCTCCTCGGTCCTGCAATGCCAATGGGATTCGGCTCCCGCTGCCAAGGGAAGGGTTTGGCTGGGGAAACGTGGCTGGTGCTGATAAGAGCGGTCATTAAAGATGCCCACGCTGCCCCGTGCGGGTGATTCAGTGTCTCTGGTGGTGGGCACGGGGCAAGTTTGGGACTTGCTGCTCCTCGGTGCCATAGAGACATGAATCGAGGGCTGTGGTTACCTTCAGCCCTCCTTGGGGGGGGGGAATCAGGCTCATTTTATCCATCTAAAAGACCAGAAATGCCCCAAAAATAGGACCCTCGCATCCACAGGTGGGTTCATCCCTCCATAGCCACAGGGCAGGAGACAGCACCACCCGCCCCCAACATAGAATCATGGAATCAGAATGGTTTGGGTTGGAGGGGACCTTAAAGCTCCTCCAGCTCCAACCCCTGCCACGGGCAGGGACCCCTTCCACTGGAGCAGCTTGCTCCAAGCCCCTGTGTCCAACCTGGCCTTGGACACTGCCAGGGATGGGGCAGCCACAACTGGGAATCGCTTGGGGTGGCTGGAGCATGGCTTTTCCCCACCCTCATCAGCATCCCTTTTAGGCTGGATCAATGACCCATCCTTGCTCAGCCCCGGTTAGAGCAAAGGAGGTGACAGCGGTACCCTGGGTAGGGTAGGAGGGGCTGCTGCTCTGCTTGAGCCTCCCAAAGGAATCCATGGTCCCACTGCAATCAATACTGGCAAAACTGAAAGGCTTTGGACAGCAAAGTGAGCACCGTGCCAGGCATCACAGGAGGACATTGGAGGGGGAGGAACCCCAGAGATCGCTTCAGTGCCCAAGGGAAAACTGAGGCACGCAGGGGTAAGGGTCTATTTCCAGCTGTGCTGTGGGGAGACCCCCCCTGCAGTCCTGATCCAGCTCTGGGGCAGCAGCACAAGAGGGACGTGGAGCTGCTGGAGCGAGGCCAGAGGAGGCCATGGAGATGCTGCGAGGGCTGGAGCAGCTCTGCTCTGGAGCCAGGCTGAGAGAGCTGGGCTGGGGCAGCCTGGACAAGAGAAGGCTCCTCAAGGGGAGACCTGAGAGCAGCTCCAGTGCCTGAAGGGGCTGCAGGAAAGCTGGAGAGGGGCTTGGGACAAGGGATGTAGGGACAGGCCAAGGGGAATGGCTTGAACCTGCCAGAGGGGAGACTGAGATGAGCTCTGAGGCAGAAGCTCTTCCCTGGGAGGGTGCTGAGGCGCTGGCACAGGGTGCCCAGAGAAGCTGTGGCTGCCCCATCCCTGGCAGTGTTCAAGGCCAGGTTGGACACAGGGGCTTGGAGCAAGCTGCTCTAGTGGAAGGTGTCCCTGCCCGTGGCAGGGGTTGGAGCTGGAGGAGCTTTAAGGTCCCTTCCAACCCAAACCATGCTGGGATTCTGTGATTTTTATGTTTCCTCCATTCTCCATCCTTGCCGGAGATGAGTTTAGGGTGGGATGAACGCCCAGAGGCTGGACCACAGCTCCCAGCACTCCCCATTTCCCTCCCCATCCCTCCCGGCACCCCCAATGGAGCCCTCCTGAATCCCCATCAGCCGAACCCAGCCTTTTTGGGGCAGGGGAGAGCAGCGGATGCTCATTAAGTGCCTGATTCCCCTTTACATATTAATCACACGCTGCTGAGGTCACTCGTGGAGTTGCTGGAAGGGGGATCTGGGACCAGCAGGAATATTCATGGCTGGATGAGGGGAGGGAATTGTTGCTGTTGTTTCCCCCGTACCGTTTGCATCGGTGACACGAGTGTGCTGGGTCTCAGCACAGGTAGAACCTGATGGTTGCCCACAGGAGGGTCTGTGCCAGCCCCAAAGGTGCCCTTGCTCCCTCTGCCGCTGGTTTCTTTGCTTTCTTGGATGAAAAGAGGTTGATGATCCATGGGTGGCAATGACGGGTCCCTATGGGCTCAGGCTGCGGCAGGATCCTGCTCTGCACCTCAGTGCTGCGTGGTCCAGCGCTGCAGCTGAGCCCCTTTGGGTCGGAGGGTGCTTTTGTGCACCCCAAAGTTATCCCCTGGCCTGGCCCACCGGTGTGCCCAGCATCCCCTCCTGGACCAGCATCCTTCAAAGCAGCATCTCTCCAAACCAGCATCTTCTAATTGAGCAGCCCACCCTAAACCAGCATCACTCCAAAACCAGTGCAACCCCTCCCCAAATCTGCATCCTTCCCAAAGCAGCATCCATCCAAAACAACACCCCCCTCTGAGCCAGCATCCTCTGCATGAGCATCTGGCCCCAAACCTGCATCCCACCATCCCCAAGGCAGCATCTTCCAGACCTGCATCCCTCCCAAAGCAACGTCTTCCAAACCTGCATCCTTCCAAATCCAGCATCTTCCAGACCTCCATCCCTCCGAATCCAGCATCTGGCCCCAAACCTACATCCCCCCACCCCCAAACCAGCACCTTCCAAACCGGCATCTCTCCAAAACCAGCATCTTCCAGACCTGCATCCCTCCCAAAGCAGCATCTTCTAAACCCACATCTGTCTCTGCCCAGCATCTTCTAAAACTGCATCCCCCCCCCCCAAACCCAGAATCTGGACCCAAACCTTCATCCCCCCCATCCCCAAGCCAGCACCTTCCAAACCTACATCCCTCCAAATCCAGCATCTTCCAGACTGGCATCTCTCCCAGAGCAGCATCTTCCAAACCTACACCTCTTCCAACCCAGCATCTTCCAAACCCGCGTCCCTCCAAATCCAGCATCTTCCAAATCTGCATCCCTCCAAATCCAGCATCTTCCAAATCTGCATCTCTCCAAATCCAGCATCTGGCCCCAAACATGTATCCCCCCATCCCCAAACCAGCCCCTTCCAAGCCTGCATCCCTCCCAACCTAGCATCTTGCAGACTGGCATCCCTCCTCCAAACCTTCATCCCTCCAAATCCAGCATCCTCCAAACCTTCATCCCTCCCAACCCAGCATCTTCCCCTCTCTAAACCCACACCCTCCATTATCCATCCATGTGGTGCCCCTCGGAGCAGCCAGGGCTCAGGGGGTGCTGCTGGGATGCACCCTCCCTGCGCTCAGCTCCAGCACTGAATCATCTCAGTCACAGATTCGCTTGGATGCGATTTGGGGAGGGGAAGAAGAAGAGAAAAAAGCAGCAAAGCAACAAAACAACAACCCAGCCCTTTCCTTCCTCCTCCTCCTCCTCCTCCTCCCCTGGGAAGGGGTGACAGCAGCATAAATAGCAGCCTGCACAGCACAGGGCCAGATGCAAAGCGAGCGGCACCCGTGGCACCATGGCAGAGCCTTCGCTGCCCCTCTCCTTCCTCTGCCTCCTCGCCTTGTCCTCCGCCTGCTACATCCAGAACTGCCCCCGAGGTGGCAAACGGGCGCTGAGCGACACAGCCCTGCGGCAGGTATGGGGTGGGATGGGGGTACGGGGGTATGGGATGGGGGTTTGGGCAGCACAGGGAAGCTCTGTGGGATGCTGAGGCTCCTATGGGCACCCCTGCATGTGCTATGCTCCCCAGTGCACCCGCTGTTTGGGAGGGGTGGGGGACATGCCCAAGGGCACCCCGAAGTGCTGCTGTCACCTCAAGGTTGGATACAGCAGAGTGGGGGGACAGGATACATCTATGGAGCAGGGACAGGATACATCCATAGAGCAGGGACAGGATACATCCATAGAGCAGGGACAGGATAGATCCATGGAGCAGGGACAGGATAGATCCATGGAGCAGGGACAGGATACATCCATAGAGCAGGGACAGGATAGATCCATGGAGAGGGGACAGGATAGATCCATGGAGCAGGGACAGGATACATCTATGGAGCAGGGACAGGATACATCTATGGAGCAGGGACAGGATAGATCCATGGAGCAGGGTCAGGATAGATCCATGGAGAGGGGACAGGATACATCCATGGAGCAGGGACAGGATACATCTATGGAGCAGGGACAGGATAGATCCATGGAGCAGGGACAGGATACATCCATGGAGAGGGGACAGGATAGATCCATGGAGAGGGGACAGGATAGATCCATGGAGAGGGGACAGGAGAGATCCATGGAGCAGGGACAGGATACATCTATGGAGCAGGGACAGGATACATCTATGGAGCAGGGACAGGATAGATCCATGGAGCAGGGTCAGGATAGATCCATGGAGAGGGGACAGGATACATCCATGGAGCAGGGACAGGATACATCTATGGAGCAGGGACAGGATAGATCCATGGAGCAGGGACAGGATACATCCATGGAGAGGGGACAGGATAGATCCATGGAGAGGGGACAGGATAGATCCATGGAGAGGGGACAGGAGAGATCCATGGAGCAGGGACAGGATAGATCCATGGAGAGGGGACAGGATACATCCATGGAGCAGGGAGAGGATAGATCCATGGAGCAGGGACAGGATACATCCATGGAGTGGGGTCAGGATACATCCATGGAGCAGGGACAGGATAGATCCATGGAGCAGGGACAGGATAGATCCATGGAGCAGGGACAGGATAGATCCATGGAGAGGGGACAGGATAGATCCATGGAGCAGGGACAGGATAGATCCATGGAGAGGGGACAGGATACATCCATGGAGCAGGGACAGGATACATCTATGGAGTAGGGACAGGATAGATCCATGGAGCAGGGTCAGGATAGATCCATGGAGCAGGGACAGGATACATCTATGGAGCAGGGACAGGATAGATCCATGGAGCAGGGACAGGATAGATCCATGGAGCAGGGACAGGATACATCTATGGAGCAGGGACAGGATAGATCCATGGAGCAGGGACAGGATACATCTATGGAGCAGGGACAGGATAGATCCATGGAGCAGGGACAGGATAGATCCATGGAGCAGGGACAGGATACATCTATGGAGCAGGGACAGGATACATCTATGGAGCAGGGACAGGATACATCCATAGAGCAGGGACAGGATAGATCCATGGAGCAGGGACAGGATAGATCCATGGAGCAGGGACAGGATAGATCCATGGAGCAGGGACAGGATAGATCCATGGAGCGGGTTCAGGATAGATCCATGGAGCGGGGTCAGGATAGATCCCTGCCCACGGCAGGAGGGTTGGAACTGGATGATCTTAAGGTCCTTTCCAACCCAAACCATTCTGTGATTCTATGATTCGATGGAGCAGGGACAGGGAGCATGGTGGGGGGCAACGTGGAGTGCCCAAAGAGGGACTGGTGCCGCAGCGTGAAGACGCGCTGCTGGTGATGGGGACAGAACAGGTCACCCTGTGGGAGGGTGGCACCTCCAAGGGCTGGCAAAGCAGCAGCAGCGCAAGAAGGGTGGGAAAGATGGGGAATAAGGGCATGGTGGGCCAAGGGGAATGGCTTGAACCTGCCCGAGGGGAGACTGAGATGAGCTCTTAGGCAGAAGCTCTTCCCTGGGAGGGTGCTGAGGCGCTGGCACAGGGTGCCCAGAGAAGCTGTGGCTGCCCCATCCCTGGCAGTGTTCAAGGCCAGGTTGGACACAGGGGCTTGGAGCAAGCTGCTCTAGTGGAAGGGGTCCCTGCCCGTGGCAGGGGTTGGAGCTGGGTGGGATTTCAGCTCCCTTCCAACCCAAACCGTGCCGCGATTCGGTGCTGATGGAAGCATCTCCCCCCCCTTCCCCAGTGCCTGCCCTGCGGCCCCGGCAACAGAGGCACCTGCTTCGGGCCCGGCATCTGCTGCTCCTCGGAGCTCGGCTGCTACCTGGGCACGGCCGAGACGCGGCGCTGCGCTGAGGAGGATTCGGTGCCCTCCCCGTGCCGGGCGGGCGGGCAGCCCTGCGGCAACGGCGGCCGCTGCGCAGCGCCCGGCATCTGCTGCAGCCCCGGTGAGGAGGGATGGGGGCAGCGGGGAGCGGGAGGGAGGCGTTGGGACCACGGCGAGGGAAAGGGAGGAGCGGGGAATGGGGATCGGGTTGTGGGGGGGAAGGAAGTTGCGCATCGGGAGGATGCTGAGGCGCTGGTGCCCAGAGAAGCTGTGGCTGCCCCATCCCTGGCAGTGTTCAAGGCCGGGTTGGACACAGGGGCTTGGAGCAAGCTGCTCCAGTGGAAGGGGTCCCTGCGCGTTGAACTGGGTGAGCTTTAAAGCTCCCTTTCAAGCCAAACCATTTTATATGGCTCAAAGCTCCTTCCCGAGCCACCACAACGGGATGTTTCCCATCCAGGGTATTCTCACCCCTCATTGTGCTGGAAATACCTCTCCCAGCCCCACTCCCTGGTTAACCAAGGGACTAAAACCAGAGCATGAGCATCTGTGGGGCCACCACCAACCCCTTGCCCACCTGAAACGAACCATCCGCGGTCCTAAACAACAACCCCAATAACCTGTCCCCGGTGCGTTGCTTTCCATTGAAGAGACCTGCTCCATGGACACCTCCTGCCTGGACGAGAGCAGCGATGGGGCTCAGGAGGCAGCAGAGAAGAACCTGACGGTGCTGGACGGCTCGGCTGGAGACCTGCTCCTCAAGCTCATGCACTTGGCGACCCGGCAGCAGCAGGGCAAGCATCCCTCCCTCTGAGCCTGGGGTACCCCCCACCCCGGCCAGCACCGACACCCAGAGCCCAGCCTTGTAAATACCTGACCCAATAAAAGCCCTTGTGCACTGTGCTGGTTTCGTCCTTGGTGCTGGGGATGGGTCATGGGGGGGGGCTCCAGAGGGCACAGAGAGGGTGCAGGGATGGATGTGGGGCAGCACGGGAGGTGGATGGGTCTCCCCTGTCACCCTTCCCATGTCCCCATCTATCCCCATGCTGTTCGCTCCCATCCGCAGTGGTTTTGGCAGGATTTGTCCCTGTTCTTACAGTGCTGAGGGCAAGGATCTGGGGCAGAGCTGCCCTTCGAGTCCCACCCAATAGCCCCAGCAACACCCATGGGTGCTGAGCTCCCAGCATCCCCAGGGATGGGGACAGTGATGGGATGCGCCACCACCCTGTTACCTCTGGCCAAGACCCCTCCTTGGGGCAGATTTGGGGCCTCGCTGCCTCCAGGAACCAGCACAATGAGCTGCTTCAAGCACGTCTCCTAAAAATGAGAGAAAACAAGGAAAACCACCCAAAAAAAAATAAAATCAGGGGCATTTGGGCTCCCAAATTCACACAGCCCCTGGGGCTGGTGGTATCTTCCCCCATCATCATCATCATCGCCAAATGGGTGATGGTGGATCAGCCCCGGTTATCCCACCCTCACCCCCTATTTGGGATACCATTATCCCAACTCTCTCCCCCTATTTGGGATACCATTATCCCACCCTCTCCCTCTATTTGGGATACCATTATCCCAACCTCTCCCCCTATTTGGGATACCGTTATCCCACCCTCTCCCTCTATTTGGGATACCGTTATCCCAACCCTCTCTCCCTATCCAGGATACCGTTATCCCACCCTCTCCCTCTATTTGGGACATCGTTATCCCAACCCTCTCTCCCTATCCAGGATACCGTTATCCCAACTCTCTCCCCCTATTTGGGATACCATTATCCCAACCTCTCCCCCTATTTGGGATACCGTTATCCCAACCCTCTCTCCCTATCCAGGATACTGTTATCCCAACTCTCCCCCTATTTGGGATACCATTATCCCAACCTCTCCCCCTATTTGGGATACCGTTATCCCAACCCTCTCTCCCTATCCACGATACTGTTATCCCAACTCTCCCCCCCCATTTGGGATATCGTTATCCCAACATCTCCCCCATTTGGGATACCGTTATCCCACCCTCTCCCTCTATTTGGGATATCGTTATCCCAACCCTCTCTCCCTATCCAGGATACTGTTATCCCAACTCTCTCCCTCTATTTGGGATCCCAACATCTCCCCCATTTGGGATACCGTTATCCCAACCTCTCCCCCTATTTGGGATATCATTATCCCAACATCTCCCCCTATTTGGGAAACCGTTATCCCAACCTCTCCCCCTATTTGGGATACCGTTATCCCACCCTCTCTCCCTATTTGGGATACCATTATCCCAACCCTCTCTCCCTATCCACGATACTGTTATCCCAACTCTCTCCCCCTATTCGGGATACTGTTATCCCACCCTCACCCCCTATTTGGGATACCGTTATCCCACCCTCTCCCCCTATTTGGGATACCATTATCCCAACCTCTCCCCCTATTCGGGATACCATTACCCCACCCTCTCTCCCTATTTGGGACACTGTTATCCCAACCCTCTCTGCTCCCCTGGTCTCTTACCCTGCGGGGTCCCTGCTCCAGGCTCTCTCTGGGCTGGGATCTGGGGACAGCTCATCCTTTATAATGTCCCTGCGGGAGGTGGCACCTTCAGGAGGTGGAGCTCCGCCATTCCAGCGGGTCCCATCCTGCCCATCCTGCACCTCACAAGGGTGCAGGATTGACCCAGCACCTGCTCCCAGCAATGGGCATCTGATCCCAGCCCTTTGGAGGTGGGGGGGACCCAAAATCACCCCCAAAACCATTGGGAAAGGGGCAACAGCAGCCTGGATGGAAGATTCCGAGCTGGGAACACACGGGATGAAGGAATCGGGCTGTTCATCTCACTGCTGCACCCCGGGATGCAGGATGTGAACCCCAACATCACCTGAAGCATCAGGGATGTGTGGCTGAGCCGGGATGCGGGATGCTGATGGGAGCTTGGGCATCAACATCCCCAAAAGCACCAGGAGCTGATAACTGAAGGGGTTTTCCACACAGGACACATCCCAATCCTGCCCATGGGGGTCAGGGCACCCCAAGACCCATCTGGGCTGCTCCAGGAGGGTGTTTCCCCCCCCCCATAATCCCTGTGTTGAGCCGCTGGGATGCTACAGCACTGGTGCTGAGCCTCATTTGCATCCCATTATCATGGGCACCGGTGGCTGGCTCGTCCCCAGGGCCCTGCTGCCTGACCCTGGCTGTGTGAGCAGGACCTGGGTGCCCTCAGTGCCGGCTGCTGTGGCCATGGTAAGTGGCCCATTTCAAAGCAAGCCGGAGGGGATGAGGAGAGGTCACGGCTCTCCAGCTCTGGGCTGCCTAAATCCCAATTAAGGAGGTGGAAGAAGGGACTGGGATAATGGCCTCGCCATTAGGGCCTGTCCACAGCAGAGGAATTGGTTCAGCTCTTAATTGCAGTAACGAAGGCAAAGGGTTGGGGTGAGCAGGAGCCCGTGTGGCTGCATCCTCAGTGCTGTTTCTACAGGGAGCCGGTGGTGACGTGGGCCAGGGCATCATGTCCGAGCTCCAGCGCAGGAGCCAACAGGGAAATGTAGGGGTTCAGGCCTTTGCCAATGGGGTTTGGTGTTTCCAGGCTCCCTCAATGCAGTCAGGGGGGGATCGTGGTCACCATCATCCCGAAGCAGACTGAACCCGGCATTGAGCATCCCCCACCGCAGGCAGAGATGGGTGGGAAGGACCCATTGTTTCCCATCCCAGCTCCCATGATGATCCCAGTGGAGGACTGGGGCTCGTTTTCCTCCCACCAGAAGGGATTTTGAAGCCAAGGGAAGCACGATGCCCCTCTCACCCCTCTCCTCCATCCTGTTCCCTTCCTCCATCCCATCCCAAACCCGACCAGAACGATCCCGATCAGAACACGGAGCAACCAGCCACAGCCTTGAGGGATTGGCAGAGAAGGGCCCGAAACTGATCCACAACCCCTGCACGTTTCCCTCCCCGTCACGGTCAGCCCCAGTCACCAAGGAGCAAACCAACACCTTGGCCTTGCCCTCACGTCCTCGACCTCCGGCTATTAGCAAGAGCCCTTGGTGTGGGAAGCAATTCCTTGTGGTTCTTAAGGCAGACGGGTGACGCTGGTGCCGGAATGTGTAAGTAGGAGCTGGCACTATATATCCAGGGCTGCTTTTCCAGAGGGGGAAGCTGGGAAGCCTCCCAACCCGCAGCCATGCCCTGCAAGGCGCTCGCCGTCTGCCTCTTGGGGCTCTTGGCGCTCTCCTCCGCTTGCTACATCCAGAACTGCCCCATCGGGGGCAAACGCGCCGTCTTGGATATGGATATCAGGAAGGTAAGTCAAGTCCCATCCTTCCCTTTTCCCAACGTATCCATGATGCTGGAAGGTGGTGGGAATAAGACCAAGGGGAAGGCGCACTGACTGGAGGCGCTTCCCGGTTGACTCTCCCCTATGGCTGCTCCGGAGCAGTGCTTGCCCTGCGGCCCCAGGAACGAGGGCCGCTGCTTCGGACCCAACATCTGCTGCGGCGAGGAGCTGGGCTGTTACCTGGGCACGTCGGAAACGCTGCGGTGCCAGGAGGAATCCTTCCTGCCAACCCCCTGCGAGGCCGGACACAAACCCTGCGGCAGCAGCGGAGGGACCTGCGCGGCCCCCGGCATCTGCTGCGGCACCGGTGGGTCCCAGCCCCGTCACGGGGAAGTGGGGATGGCAAAGAGGGAGCGGGGAGAAGTGTCCCAAGGGATCTGCTTTGTCCTGCCCACCTGGTGAGGGAGCTGGGGGGTTCAGTGTGGAGAAGAGAAGGCTCAGGGGGGACCTGATGGCTCCCTACAAGTGCCTGACAGGAGGATGGAGCCAGGAGGGGCTGGGCTCTGCTCCCAAGGAACAAGGGATGGGACAAGAGGAACCGGCCTCAAGCTGCCCCAGGGCAGGTTTAGATGGAGCTGAGGAACAATTCCTGCCCCAGAGGGTGCTCAGGCATTGGAACAGGCTGCCCAGGGCAGGGCTGCAGGCACCGTCCCTGCAAGTGTTCACACAGCGTGGAGACGATGCCTCAGTGCCATGGGGCAGTGGTGGCCTTGGCAGTGCTGGGAATGGTTGGACTGGGTGAGCTTAAAGGGCTTTCCCAACCGAGCTGGTTCCATGAGCTGTCCATCCACCCAGGGCAGGATCGATCCCAACACCAGGGAGGGTGATAACAGACCTTGAGGTTTCAGGGACAGAAGCAAGCAGCAGAGCTCCTGTGGTGCACAGCAGCCCATGCCCCCTCCTGCTTCCATCACGCTTTTCCAGCCTCCTCCCTAGACACTACCAGAGATCCCACCACAGATCCTGGGGAGCTTCAGGACACGGGCTTGTTACTCGACTCCATGCAATTACAATCCACACCGGGGGGGGCTCTGGGGGCTGGTTCCTGCTGTCTCACTCCATCCCCTTTCCCCCCCCCATGCAGAGGGCTGCCTGGTTGACTCATCCTGCGACCAAGAGACGCTGTTTGCATAGAGCACCCCGGGGAGAAGAATCCCTGCAGGATCCCTTATCCATCACTGCAGCAGCAGGGAGCAGACGAGGCAAGTCTGTGACTCAGGCTGGAGTGAGGCTCTTCATTGGAAATAAAGCTTGTACAGAAAAACAATCACGAGGGGCTGTGGGGTTTATGGGATGAAAGGGGTCGGGTGCAGGCTCGGGAGGGTGGGATGGAGGGGAAAAGGTGGGTTTAAGGAAGAGATGGGACCTGGACAGGCTGGAGAGGGGGGATTGTGTGAACCTCAACAAGTGCAAGGTCCTGCCCATGGTGCAGTTCAATCACAAGGAGCAAACACAGCCTGGGGAAGATTGGGAAGAGCAGCCCTAAGAATGACTTGAGGGTATTGGCTGACCTCATGGAGCAGGTCCAGAGGAGGCCATGGAGATGCTGCGAGGGCTGGAGCAGCTCTGCTCTGGAGCCAGGCTGAGAGAGCTGGGCTGGGGCAGCCTGGACAAGAGAAGGCTCCTGAAGGGGAGACCTGAGAGCAGCTCCAATGCCTAAAGGGGCTGCAGGAAACCTGGAGAGGGGCTTGGGACAAGGGCCTGGAGGGCCAGGCCAAGGGGAATGGCTTTAACCTGCCAGAGGGGAGACTGAGATGAGCTCTTAGGCAGAAGCAGCTCCAGGTGCTGAGTAAAATAAGGCTGAAGGAAGAGACACACGAATGCCAGTATCAGAAGTGATTCTGCACATGCTCTCATTTAGCCACAGCCCAGATGTGCTTTAAACCCTCCTTTGCACAAACAGGACCAACAGGTCCCTCGGCCACAGCAGGAACCAGCAGCACGATGAATTCTTACCCCCCAACAACATAAAGGGCAGGGTTGGTGTTTCCTACTAAGCCACTCAGACCTGTTTTCCTTCATAAGCACCTAGAGGGGTCGAGAAACAGCCCCAGGGAGCGCAGAGCCAGGATGTGCCTTGGGATCGTTCCTGTTTTCCACCCCCTACACGTTTGGTGTGAAACAGGAGGGATGCTGTGGGAGGTGCAATCCCAGAGGCAGAGCAGGAGGCACACGAACACCAGCAGCTCCTCAGGCAGCGGGGCTGAGGCTCGCTTGTTGTGAGCCCAACTTTGTCCCTCACCCTCCTTCCCGCAGGCATCATCCCTTCCGAAGAAGCAGAGCCAGAGCCACAGGGGTGCTCTCCACCACTTCCAGGTGGATTTATCCGTTAGAAGGGAAGGAACTGGCTCCTTAGTGGAGCTGTTAGGACAACACCGTCCGCTTGACAATCCGCCCTTCCTTGTCGACGGCAAAGTTGTAGTTGCGGGGATTGTCCAGGCATTCCTCGATCCGGGCATCCAGGTTCTCCAGGGTGACGAAGGTTTTGGCTTCTTCCTAAAGGAAGGACAAGGAGCAGCTCTTAACACATGGCCGAGGCACCACGGGAGCTGCTGGTGCTCTGAGAGGCCCTGTGGTGGCTCCAGGATCTCAGCAGGAGCCGCATCCAAGAGGAGGAAACCGTTATTTCCTCCTTTGGGATGAATCCATCCTGTTTTCAGAGCTCTCACTCAGCCCCCATCCCATCCACACGCTGTCAACGCTCCTGGAAGGTGCCAACACACGAATCCCTAAGGGAATAAAGCCTCCAGCTTCCAGGAGCTGCCAGCAAACCCCACGCAGGCAGAGTCGTGCTGCTCTCACCTGGAGCCGGAGAACTTCCTTCTCCCTCTCCTTCAGGAAAGCTTCCCTTTTCCTGGCTTGGGTTTCAGCAGCCTTCAGCTTCTGCCTCCTCTCCTCTTCCTCTTCTTTCCTAAGTCTTTCCTCCCTGCCATAGGGAAAGGAAGAGGAAACAAGGTGATTGATCACGCTCTGCGGGGCGGCGTGCTGCTGAGACACATAATCCCTTGGGATGAAAAGCAGAGCCAGAACAAAGGGGAAGGAGCAGCACAGCCGGGATGGGAGAGCCTGGGCTGAACTCAGCATGGGGATGGAGAGAATTCCATCCTTCTCTGTGAGGGAAAACAGGGGGAAATCTTAATGGAAAAGCTCTCAAAGAGACTGGCAATGCCACGAGCGCTGCAGACCTGAGCCCCAGCAGGGTCTGGCTCCATTTGGGAGCTCCAATGGGATTCTTCCAGCAGGACGTGGCAGCTCGAGTGCTTTGGCCATGGGGCTGGGCCTGATGGGCTTTTCCCTGTTTTCCGGGTTCAGCAGATGCTGAGTTCCTTGGGAGCACGGACACAATTCCAGGGTATCCCAAGGCTGAGCAGAGGATGGCGCGGGAGGGAAGGTGGAGAAACCTCCTCCTGCTGACAGTGACCTCTGCAGGGGAGCAGGAGGTGTCCGGATAGGTAATAAAGGACAAAGCGTGGAACACAGAATCCCAGCCTGGTTTGGGTTGGGTTGAAGGGACCTTAAAGCTCCTCCAGCTTCCAACCCCTGCAACAGGCAGGGACCCTTCCACTAGAGCAGCTTGCTCCAAGCCCCTG